CACACGTATGATGGCGGGACTGTCATTTTCACAGCCCCCTGTGGGATCACCCGGTGCCCTCGAGTCCGTGCTGACACAGTGACACCATAGGGCTTCCTAGAACTGTCCCACCGCGGGTCCAAGGCCACAGTCTGTACAGAAAGGTCACTGACCGCCGACCTTTCACCTGGTAGCCAAGTGCTCAACCACCGTGCTACCAGGGCTCTTCAGCCATGAGATCGGTCTTGTACGTCTTCTGCTTCACGATGGAGGGGTGAGACGTGGAGGAGACCCACCGACAGACTGCTAACCGTGCCCACATCCACACTCTTCGCCTTGTGCCCTCTGCCTCGCTCCGCCATGCCACTCCTGTCTCGTTGCATTGGTTGAAGCGAGACAGTGGATCAGAGATTCCCTGACCCGCTCTCTCGCTCTCTGGAATGGGCTGTCTGGCTGCTGGTTCTGGCTCCTCTCCCACCTCCCATCTCTTCCCTCCAAAGTCACTTTGGGATGCACTTGCCTGGTTTGCCACCCGGGAGTGCTCGGAGTGACGAGATGCCAACTTCCTCCGCAGGTTTTTTGAGATGGTGAACACCATCACGGAGGAGAAGGGGAGAGGCACCGAGGAAGGCGATTGCGAAGGGGACTCCCTGGAGGTACGGGCTTAGGCTGGGGTTTTATGACGAGACACAGACCTTACTGCAGCCTCGCTGAGGGAGAGGGAATGGTGGGTGGGAGGGCTGTGTGGATGGGTGCGTGCTGGTCAGGGGTGGGGTTCAGCCAGAGTCTGTAACCTTTCCCTCGGTGCTTGTAGCTGCTTCTGGTAAAGAAGCTCTGGTCAAGGAGGCTCATCGTAGTTACGCACTGGGCTGCTAGCCACAAGGTCAGCAGTATGAAACCACTGCTGACCTGCCGTTTGAAACCTGCTCTGTGCGGGAGAGGCAAGGCTCTCCACTCCCGTTCGGAGCTGCAGTCTCGGAAATGCAGAGGTGCGGTGTTCCCCTGTCCTGGGGTCACTCTGAGTTGGAACGCCTCCACGGCAGCGAGGTTGTCTTGTTTCTCAGTTTGGATGGTGAATACCTCCGTTTTCTCTAGGAGGGTGCAGGTTAACCTGAGTGCACCGCCCACAGGGCCCTTGCACGTTCTAGATTCTGCTCTGCACTTACATTTCAACGAGAAATAAACAAGATACACAGATACGGCATGTTATATTGGATTTCTGGAGCCCTGGTAGCGTACAGGGCTTAGCGGTTGGTTAACGGAAAGGCCCATGAGCCAAACCCCCGTCTGCTCCCATAACGAGGTACAGTTCGGGAAATCCAAAGGCGCCGTTCTGCTCTGTGCTGTAGGGCCGTGATATACCAGAATGGACTGGGTGAGGGTGGGTACGTTGGTTGTCTAGAACTCCCACCACAAAGCCCCACCAACGGGTGACTTGGAGAAGCAGGAATGCATTGCCATCTCAGACTGAGACTCCCAAACCAGGTGTCTGACTGGTTGATTCCTCTGAGAGCGCTGGATGAAAATCTGTGGGACACGATGCAATCCCAAATGGCTGAGAGGGAGCAGAGTGAAGAGAACAAATAGAGGGGGTTAGGCAGGCATGGATGTGTGTGTGTGTGTGTGTGTGTGTGTGTGTGTGTGTTTCAGTGGGGAGGAAAGCAACAACATGAGGAAGGACAGACAAACCACACTGGATCCTCGTACCTGTGGTTTGCTGCTTGACATTCTAGATACCATTTACATGTTCAGGAGACAATTCTGCCTGCCACGAGCAAGGTACTGATTGGATCTTTGCGATGACTGCTCACCTACTGTAAGTAGGTCCAAGCTGGGAGGTGGAAGACGCCTGTGCACTATAGAAATGAGGGGCGGGTGTGTGTGTGTGTGTGTGTGTGTGTACACACGCGCACTATAGAAATGAGGGGTGTGTGTGCAGTGTGTTACTGCAGGCCTCTATCGGTGCAGAGATGAAATGAATTAGCTACTTTGTTTGGCCGGGTCGACGTTCCTTCTAAGCTGATTGTCTGCCCAATGCTCATTTAGATGGTTCTGGGCAGGCAACAATAATGGGATGCTTCTAGAAGTATCCCCATCTTTGCTCCAACGTGCAGTTGGTGTTTCCCTTAGCAACAACCCGAGTTGCCAGCTGGTCACCATAGAAACAGAATGCAACATCTATAAGCAATCTGCTTTAGCTTTTATTTTCTAAGATCGCTCCCTTCAGCCCTCCACCCCCCTTCTCTCCGTAGTTGTCACTGAATGGGCCCTGACTTGTCCCAGGCTCAGTTCTACTTTTTATGGTGCTCACATAGAGACGTCTTGGCGCTAAGGGTAGACCAGGCCCATCTCTTAGTCTCTTTTCAGCCGCAAACCTGCTCTTTCAATAATGTGTATCCTATAGGAATAGAAAACAGAGAGAGAGAGAGAGACCAAGAATTAATGATCCACGCCATAGTTTTATTCCAGTCACATTGATGTTATTAAACGTCTTTGTATTTGTCGCCGTGACTACTTGGTTCAGCAGGAATCCGCTTCTGCACCTAATAAACGACCTTTCTAAAGAGAACCGTCTTGTGGTCCTCTCCATTGTCGAAGAGTCCTCACTCTGGGGCTCTCTTCTCAGCCAAACCTCAACTGATGCTGCCTCTAAATGCTTTGTCTTGGCACCTTTTTAAAAAGTTCTCATCTGATTTCTATAGCCTGATTATTTCATTAAGCAAATGACTACTGAGCATCTATTAGAATGCATGCCAGATACCACTAAGTTTAGGAACCGAGCAGTTAAAAAAGGCCCTTTTCTCCAGCGGCTCCTCAGTGGACAGAGTGGGCAGGCGGGGCAGAGTGGTCCGTATGTGATGGAGAAAGGGCAGCAGGAAGTATGTGATGACCAGCACAGCAGCCCAGCATCTGACCCAGCTTTGGAAGGCCATGTGATGTTCCTGGGAGCTTAGTCTTGAAGGGGGAGGAGGACGTGGTAAGTTTGACTGGGAACTACGAGAGAGACGATAGGCCACACAGGTGACCATGAGATTCTAACTGGCGCGTCTGCTGTTCTCAGACGTAAACTCTCTCCCAGAAGCAACGGGGAGCAAACAGAGCAGCGGCAGCCACGCTGCCATGCTCACTTTGGAACTTTGCAGCTGGATTGGAAGGTGGGACCATCAGTGAGAAGCGGGCATGAAAACCAAGTAGGGGCAGGCGTCCACAGGGTTAGTAAAGAAGTAAGGCGGGCAGGGAGACCTTGAGTGGTCCC